CCAAAGTCCTAATAGCAGAAGGACTTGGCTACAACTTACTGAGCGTCAGTCAGTTGATGGCGAAAGGCATACATCTGGAAGCCGACAGTACCACCCAGGAGTTCAAGCTGTACCACGGGAAGGGCGGCCTCTACATCGGAAAGGCGGTCCTGAAGAACAATGTCTTCGTTCTCGATTTCGTCCCAGACCTGGGCACCGCAGACAGTGACGGGATCGTCACCTTCACATCTTGGACGCACCCGCCGGATCTCGACCCCGACTTCAGTCCGGAAGGCTTTTGGTATTCACATACCATTCCTGAAGCAGAACGAACACGTGCGTTAGTAACAATACAACATTCGGCAGCAGCAGAGACAACATCGGCAGCAGCAGAGACAACATCGGCAGCAGCAGAGACAACATCGGCAGCAGCAGAGACATCATCGGCAGCAGCAGAGACATCATCGGCAGTAGCAGGAACAACAACAGTAGCAGCAACAACGACACCACTCCTCGTTGACGAAGCACCACCAACACCCGCACAGCAGCTGAATCCGGCTCAACGGGAAGTCCATAGAAGCGCAAACTTCACCGCCAGCTTCTACTCCAACTCCGACGCGTATCGACGCTCACCCGGACACCGCGCCTCCGAAGACATCTGGCACGCACGCATGGGACACCCAAGCAATACTGTGTTAAACAACACAATAAGAGCAGGAGTCCTTGACAAGGACTCGTTACTACTACTCGACGGCAGAGAACTTCAACGGGCACGAGGAACATGTCTTACCTGCCCCGAAGCCGACTTACCACATCGGCCGTTCACTCCTCATCACAACCCGAGCACACCCGCGTACGCACCACTCGAAAAGGTGTATAGCGACATCCTGTACAATCGGGAACCAGGACAAGTAATATACAACTACACAATCACCTTCATCGACGCCGCCACCCGTTACGTCTGGCATCTAAACCTACCCAGCCGCGACATGGTCCTCGAAGCATTCGCTGCTTGGCTACCAGTAGCAGAAAGAGAGTCGGGCGTAAAGCTGAAAAGCTTCCAGTCTGACGGAGGAGGAGAATACACCTCTCAGCGATTCAAGCAGTACCTGGCGGAAAGGGGAATCAAGCAGCTCCTCTCTCTTCCCTACGCCCATCAGCAGCAAGGTGTAGCAGAAAGAATGAACAGGACTCTGCAGAACAGCATGCGCAAACTGTTGCGTGGCATGCGACTACCCAACCACCAGTGGCCTGACGCGATGGACCACGCTGTCATGCTGCACAACTTGCTCTCATCTTCATCACTACCGAACAACGCATCACCGCATCTGCTGTGGACAGGAAAACAGGGCAGCACAAAAATGTTACGAGTGTTCGGATGCATGGTACAGTACCGACCCCCAGCAGCACGAGCGGGCCGATTTTCACAACGCGCACAGTGGGGACTACACCTCGGCATCGAAAAGAACTACAACGCGTGGAAAATCTTTGACGTCCACTCCAAGGAAACAGTAGCAGCACGCGACGTCATTTTCTACGAACGACTCACGCTCCAGACATACCTTGCCAACCTGCAAGAGGACCAAGATCCCACAGGTGGTTTTCGTGGTGACCGAGCCTTCGCCTCGGCAGCAGACGAAGCTGACTGGGACGAGCAGAATGTGGCCAACGTATCAGAAGAAGCTGGACCCCTTCCGTTCTGCTCCGTCGACGTCCCCATGGACGAAGATAACCCTCGCGAAAGTGTCAACGCCGAAACCTTCTACTACTTCGCCGACAACGGTTACGTAACACCTGCGACAGTCAACACCAACGAAGCAGAACGAGTAGGACCGAATTTCATACCTGATCCAGAAGCGGGAGATGAAGCAGCTTATCCCGAGGATGCAACTCTTCCCCGCTACTCACAGACTGGACTGCAGATTCTCGGACTCGTCACCGCAGTCCACGGCAACACTCTTCCTAAGGAGCCTGCGACGGTTCAGCAGGCTCTGGGGGGGGAACACAGGGAAAAATGGCGTGAAGCCATGGACAGAGAGTTAAAGGCGCTGGAGGAACGGAACACCTGGAAAGTTGTCCCCATCAGCGTGGCAAGGAACAAGACCATTCTCACCGGGAAATGGGTCTTCCGCGTTAAAACAAAAGCAGACGGCACAATTGAGAAGTTCAAAGCACGCTGGGTTGTGCGTGGATTCGATCAGGAGCACGGACGGGACTTCACCGAGACATTCGCCCCGGTTAGCCGACATACCTCACTTCGAATCCTCCTCGCGATCGCCGCCATGAAGAAAAGGAAGCTACGGCAAATCGATGTCGCCAACGCGTTCCTCTACGCACCTGTCGACGTGGAAATCTTCGTCGAGCTCCCACACGGTACCAACGGGGAACCTAACCAAGTCTGTCAACTGCTGAAATCACTTTACGGGATCAAGCAAGCTCCGCGGCTATGGCAACAGTACCTACACGCTCGCCTCATTCGCATCGGATTCCGCCAACTACCTCACGACCAAGGAATGTACCGACTCACTAAAGACACCGACTACATTCTGCTGATCGTCTACGTAAACGACCTACTCTACATCGGCTCCACTGACGACATCACCACCTGGTTCGAAGGGGAGCTACAGAGGGACCTCACACTCACGGTCTCCTCTACCGTCACACAGTACCTCGGCTTGAACATTCGGGAAGAAGAAGGCGCGATCTACCTCAACGCCGCTAAGTACGCCGACACCATCGCCAAACGCTTCGCGCTCACACCTACCACCATCTCTACGCCCTACCGCTACGCGACAGGAAACCACAAGGAAGGATCCTCTCTACTCAAATCCGCCGGGATACGCGACTACCAGAGAAAGCTAGGATGCCTTCTCTTCGCAGCTGTCACCTGCCGCCCCGACCTCTCATACTCCGCAAGCCAGCTCGCCACCTACCTCAAGAAGCCTGAAGCAGAACACCTGGCGGAGCTCGACCGCGCTCTCCACTACTTCGTCAGTACCTCAACGATCGGCCTAACTTACTACAAGAACACAACTACACCGACTAAATTAATCGGCTACGTCGACGCTGATCACGCTGGCGACTCCGACAACAGGCGCTCCCGCACCGGCTACATCTACCGCCTCGAACCTATCGGACCGATCTCCTGGCAATCGAGCAAGCAGGAATTAACTGCTCTCTCGTCAGCTGAAGCAGAATATATTGCACTCTGCTCAGCCACCAAGGAAGGACTCTATCTTCGCGAGCTGCTGGAAGAAGCGAAGTTAGCCGAGTTACCCAACTTCACTCTGTTCTGCGACAACCAATCTGCAATTCGCATCGCCAACAAAAATGGATTCGCGAACAGAACGAAGCATATCGCTCTGCGATATTTCTTCGTGAAAGACGAGATTGAGAAGGGGAGACTTGAACTATCCTACTGTCCCACGTCCGAGATGGCAGCTGACTACTTGACCAAGAAGCTCGGAAAACAAAAGTTCGAGTACTGCATGCTGCTGACTGGACAAGACAAAGCCACGTCACCAGCAGCGACACTCCAGAAGCTAAGGGGAGTGTTGGGAACAAACAATCTTAAGCGCCTCTGTCGTGTCGAAACACCAAGGCACAAGCGAAGCAGAGCATATCGAGGCACCAGCGAGTCAACCCTCGGAGGTTGAAGTAACCGCTGGAGGTTACGCGAAAGTCAAAGGTCAGCGACCTTTGACTTGACAAATGCAGCGCGACAGCAAGGACACACAACTGACTCGACATTGAGCAGTTGCCCGAGTCGCACTGTATCGAACCGCAACAGTAAAACAGTTTAATTATATCTCTTCGTATTCTTTGTACTCTTATATAAACCTTTGTACTTGCTTGTTTTAATCAACTTACTTTGCCCTCACATACCAGCGCAAGGTGGTTCAAGGACTTCATTTAAACGCTTCCGCTACTACATCACTCTACCCAGAGTTTAACCCTACCAAAGATCCTAAGGGGCACTCAGCCCAACAATGTGCAGGTGCAGCAACAAGTGGTTGCGCGCTTGCTTGGACTTCCAAATTTATCCTTACATTGCCATCCTCCTGTTGGCCTTGCCGGGGCTGCGTTGCTGCATCTTGCGCTTGAACCCCAGCGCTCGATCCGTGAACACTCGCCTCTCGAATGGTGGATTCGGAAGAGACGTGTGACAAGAGCTGGATGTCACTTGCCATTTCAAAATCATTCGACGACGATGATGCCGACGACGAGGAGGCAGATAAGTCAGTCGCCTGCTCAGGTGTTTTCTTCAGGGTTCGAGCGATGCGCTTGCAGACAGGGCAGAAGGGCTGCCGGGTTGTCAGCCACTCGTCCACACACTCGGTGTGGAACTCTGCAGTAATGAATATACGGGTGAAGCATAGAAGAAGGGTAATGAGAAATCATGACGTGACGAATGAGAGAGGCTCGTGTAGAGGAAAATTACCATGGAACCAGTAGGAAGAAAGGCTATAAGAGAAGCAAGGAGAGTCAGATGTGAGTGCGTTATCGGCTGGTAAACCTCGGTACCTGATTTCCTGCTTTTTACCAAGCAATGCATTTCTTTCCACCTCCTCGTCTTACCCACACATAACGTGACTGCATGGCGGGACCGCAGCCGTACCCAACACCCGTATTCCTCAACACGCACAGCCACCCCGTCAAATGGCACACGTCCCCCACATGCATCTAGCGATTATCACTCCCACTGATTGAACCAACACTCATGCCCCGTGTCTTACCGTGACTGCATGGCAGGACTCTTAGCCGGTTGCCACACTCATAGTCCTCCAGGCAGATCGCACACGTTTCCCACGTGCTTCTGTAAATAACCTCCTCCTGCCCATCCTCCTCCTCCTCTCCCTCCTCCGCACCGCGAAAAGACACTCTGCTTCGCACACTGCTTTGCCGACTAAGCTCCACACCTGGAAAGCCACCCAGCTCTACGTCCCCCCGCTGGATATAGTCACACGAGGGTCTCCGCCCTTCTGTTTTAATCACAATACTATCCGCCTGATGCTTCCCCTTTAGTTTTTCCTGACTGCTTCCCAGCTCGTTACAGTCGCTGCAATTTCAGTCCCTTCCTTCCTGTCAGCCGTCTCCTTCTCAACCCCTTCACTCTTATCCCCCTTGCTGCCGTCCTTTTCAGCCTCTGCCCGCTTGAGACTCGGCAAACCCAGAAAAGTTTTCTCGGGCAGCGCCATAACCTCCTCCAACGTCATTTTATCCGGCGAGGCGGTCAGCTGAATGGGAAGAAAAGCCGGATTCACCCCCGCCGCTGCCGCCGCTCCTGCCACAGCGTTCCTAATACGATACCGGCAGATGCAGAGAAACGTGAGGAGCATTATGCCGATAGCAAGGAGGGAGGAGATCCAGATGATAAAGGACCAGGAGTAGGCCGAGGTGGTGTAGTAGGGCTGCGCGGGGTAGAGGATGGCAATGGTTTCGGGGTAGGGCTGGATGACTGAGAGAATGATGGATGCGTCTTCTAGGGAGATGAAGGCGGAGGGAATCGTGATGCCCATGCGCTGGTTCTCGGCCACTGGGGGAGACAGGAAAGAGGGGGGAGAGGAAAGCGGAAGAAGGGAAGTGGGCGAGGGGGGAGGGGAGAGGGAGGGGTGGAGGGGTAGGTGGAAGTCTGAGTCGACTCAAAAGTATGTTGGGATGGGAGCCGGGGAGGGGCCGGGTAGGGGGGATGAAAGGGCGAGGGGGTGGTGGGAGGGAGAAAGGGGTCTGGGGAAGAAGGGGGACCGCTGGTGGGTGGGAGAAGGGAGACGTTAGGATGGGAGGGGAAGACGGGGGCTAAGGGGAGGTGGAAAGTCGAAACGGGAAATGGGGTAACGGTAAAATTGGGGAAGGGGAAAAAGGAAAATCGCCGAAGGGGAAACGGGGGCATGAGGCAATGGGGAGATTGGGGAAGCGGGAAATCCGGAAGCGGGGACATGGGGCAATGGGGAAATGCACGGTGGATGTGAGGGTTCCTTGCGAAAGGGACGGGCGGGACAGGCGGCGTGAGGAGCGCGAGCACAGTGAAATGACACACTTTTATCATTAATTACTGACTTCTAGCGAGGTCTTTATTTGAGTCGTTATTGCACACGGCCGCCGTATCGTACCCCGCAAACTGAGCGTTCTTTGATGCGCCATAACTATTACCGCACTTACCTATAGCGAGGTCTTGGTTGGACTCGTTATTGTACACAACCGCCGCAGCGTACCCCGCGAATTGCGCGTTCTGCACCTTCCGCCCGAAGGAGCAGTCTCCGCGCGCAATCAGCGCGAACTGCACGGTGCCGGGCGGCACGCGGTTCTGAATCGGCTGGCATGCGTTGGCGGGTACCGTCGGATACAGCCGTCCCCAGAAGCCGCTGAACGGGATGACGGGGCCTGGAGAGGGGTACGAGGGAGTAAGGAGGAGTCAGAGGGAGTGAGAGCAGCAGAATGGACGGATTTAGGCATGGTGACGACCAAGCAGCCAGCCTTCTCTAACTCTAGGCGGATGGGGAAGCGCTTACCCAAGAAGGAGCCAACCCTCTCTTGCTCCTTCCTCTTACCGAAGTCAGAATCGGCGGAGAGGAAGGAGTAGCCGCGCGGCTGGGCCGACTCGAGGCATTGGGAAGCCGCTATTAGGCGGAATAAGTGTTCTTGAGCCAATATCATGTTCTCTTGAGGCGGATGGGGAAGAGCTTACCGAAGTCAGAATCGGCGGAGAGGAACGAGTAGCTGAGCTGCTGCGGCGACTTGAGGCGTCGGGAAACCACATTTGTACCCCGGTTGCTGGCGAGCTAACCTAAGACCTTATTGTCTGGGGGCGCATGGGGAAGAGGGAGAGCTTACCGAAGTCGGCGTCGGCGGAGGCGAAGGAGTAGCTGAGCTGCTGCGGCGACTTGAGGCTTTGGGAAGACACTATAAGCCGGACTCACTGCGCACGACGTACACTAGGGCCATGTGGTCTAGCAGCGCATGGGGAAGAGGAAGAGCTTACCGAAGTCCGCGTCGGTGGAGGCGAAGGAGTAGCTGAGCTGCTGCGGCGACTTGAGGCGGAGCAGCCCCGCGGCGACGGGCGCGTGGCGGAGCAGCGCGACGAGCAGCAGCAGGGGGAGGGAGACGGAGAGGGGGAGACTGCGCAGGCTGCGGGGGAGATTGCGCACGGCGCGGGAATGACGGGGGAGCGGCGGAGGAGCGGGGTTGGCGGAACTGGCGGGCGCGAGACGGCGCGCGGCGGGGAGGCGCGGCTGGCGGGGCTTCGGCATTGCGGCTCCGCTGCTGCCGACTGGGCGGTTGTAGCAGGCAATGAGGTTAGATTCGCGGCGCCTGGAGAATAGGAAGGGAGGCTGTAGCAGGCGATGAGGTTATTTCTGAGACACCTTGAGGCTAGAGTCGGCGGTTATAGCATGCGACGAGGTGAAAAGGATACGACGGCAAGGTTGAATCAGGATGAGCGTAACGCAGGATGTCTTTAGCTATTACGATATCGGTGCTTGTATTAACGAGGCGGTGTGATCCACTGCGACCCACTACAAGTCTGCTTCTACACTGAGTTATCTCGAATAACACCGTGCAGAAGCTAACAAGCCCCCGCGCAACGCCTTCTGAATTATATGCCTGTCGGCGGGCCGACTAATAACGAGAACCTGGAAGCACAATAGCAGCTTGTGCGACGACGGTCAAGACGACTGCCAGGAGGAGTCGACAGGAGTGGACGACTAATCAGTCAGTTCGGCTAGGCCAAGGCGAGTGCCAGAAGTCACACCCTATCCAGCAACAGGATCAGGGTTCCTGAGAACCTCGGGAGTGGCAGGATAGAAAGGAAAGCGTCTGTGTGATGTGATGTGAACGTGATGCCAACTTCAGCAGCTACAGCCCGGGTGGGTCATGCAGGGAGGGTGGGTGGTGGTGTGTTGGTGATATGCTTGGTTGCTAGCTATGAGCTATGCAACGCACCAAACCAAATTTGCACACAAAAAACGTTTACGTATTCCGTGCAGACACAAATGCAGCGCAGATACAGTACAGTACAAATAAGAGACGGGCAAGAAAGGAGCGTCTTTTTCGTCACCGTCTGTGTTTCTACGACCTAGCGCAATTTACGCGTCGAGTCGCGCCCATCGCACCGAATCACAGCTTTCCCAACGAGACGTCGTTGTCGCCCAACCCGTTGTGCCCCTGCGAAGTCTAGGTTCGGGGGCATGAAGGGCAAAATTAGGTTCGGTACAAAAGAAGCCAATTACGCAAACACGTTGCACGAAGCCAAACGCGGTTCGTTGGCTTGGCAGCAAGGGGCACCTACCCCCAAATGAGCCGAGTCCTGCCTTCCGTGCGCATCAATCATATCTGCGATGGGATCAGGCAGGAAGGGTCCAGCTCGTTCATCTTTTGTACGTTATGGTCTAATTCGTTGCGTCGTGGTGCAAAACAGTGAACTAAAAGCTTGCCGTAATTAAAATCACTTACCGTACATGATAATAACAGTAGAGGGATTTCTATAAGGAATAGAAGCATACACATCTAGTAAATATACGGGATGACGGAAGAACCCTATATCCCTCTGCCCAAGATATTTACACCAAATGCGTTAAAAGATATGCCCAAGTTAATCTTCCTCCTCTTCAAGCTCCACTTCCTCTTCCATTTCATCCTCCTCATCCTCCTCGTCTTCCCCTCCACTTCCCTCCCCATACTCCAATTGCTCCTGCTCTACCCTTTCATCTCCAAGTCCCCCGCCCCCTCCCTCTCCTCCACCTCCCTCAATGCGTCCCACCCACCCCTCCTCTTCTTCCTCCCCATCCTCCTCGCTCTCCTCCTCATTCTCCTCCTCGTCCTCGTCCTCCTCATCCCATGCACGAACCTCCCACGCCCCACACCCCAGCCTCCCAATCCCCCCAGCGCCATCACCACCATCCCTAGAAGCACCAAGAGCAAGTAATTCAGCACGCCTAGCAGTCAACTCAAGATGCCTCTTCTGCATCTCATATGCTCCCACCATCGCCTTCACCTCCCTCTCGCCCCCCAATGCACCGGCCAGATAATTCAGCCCCGGTCCAATCACTTCCGAATCTCCTGCTCCTGGACCTCCACCTCCCTTCCCCAAACCTTTTCCCCGTCCTCTCCCTCTCCCTCCTCCAACGGCCTTTCCTCCCCTTCCTCCTCCTCGTCCTACTCCTCGTGTCCCCCCACCCTTTACATTCCCTCTCCCTCCGCCTTGCCCCCCCCTTCTTGACTGACTGACGCCTGCACGAGTAAATTATCACAACAATAAAGAGGAATACAATAGTGGGGATCAGAACGAAGGTGAGATAAATAGGAAGATTCGGAACACCGGCTTTCAGAGTGCAGAGGATCGGGATACAGTGTGGAAGGATTCGTGATAAAAGAAAACATACAGCTCAGTTATTCCCAGAATCTTATTTGTTTGCGCGGCTGCGCCTCTTTTGAAAGGCAGAAAACACGATTTGACTCCGAAGTAAAAAACAAAAGATTCACTCCTTTTACAAAGCAAAAACACTAATCACCTGCTGCGTGCGGCCGTGGCAGGCTGCTGCTCTGCCTCTCCCGAATGATGCGATCCACATACGTGGTGTACTGCAGAGAAGGGGGGATTGCGGTTCAAGGGGGTTGGGGTTCGGGGTTCAGTTCTCGAAGGTTCGGGGGTGTATATTAGAAGAGGCACTGTCGTGGCAGGCTGCTGCTCTGCCTCTCCCGAATGATCCGATCCACATACGTGGTGTACTGCAGAGGGGATAAACATTTGGGATTCGTGGATTGAAAAGGCAAATTCAGGTCAAGGGAAGGGGGTGTCCGGACATTCAAGCCATGTTGACTACCACCCCCCCTCTCTCTCCCACCTCTCCCCGCGCACAACCCCCTGCCTTACCCCCGCTTCCCCTCAATGTCCCCCAATATCCCACCTTTTGTTTTAAACCCTCCGGACTCTCCCCTGCTGAACCTCGTTCCGCGTTCCCCGAAGCAGCAGCGCTAGAAGCAGCAGCAGCAGCAGCAGAGGCGCCAGCAGCAGCAGGAGCGGGGGAAATGGCAGCAGCACCTGCAACTGCTGCAGGGTTGTGCAGCCTCGCGCGAGCAGCAGAGGCCATGGCGAGGGCAAGGCGGGGAGCGACAGCAGACATGGCGCTGATTTCCTCATCATGCTGTGTGAAATCGTCCTTGTGCTGGCACTGCGCTGCTAGCACCGCCTGGGATGGGAGAGGGGGGAATGGGATGGTGGGGACTAGCAGAAGTGAGTGAGGGTACGACGGGGAGGTGCTGATCTCCTCATCATGCTGCGAGAAGTCGTGCTTGTGGCGTGACTGCGCTGCTAGCACCGCCTGTGAGGGGAGAGGGGAAGGAGAGGGGGCAAGCAGTGAGCAGGGCAAGGCAAGGTGGGGAGCGACAGAAGCCACAGCGCTAATCTGCTCATCATGCTGCGAGAAGTCATCCTTGTGGAGTGACTGCGCTGAAAGTACTGCCTGTCGGAAGAGGAAGGGCGGGGGGGGCAGCAGAGATGGGTCAACAGCAGACCCGGCGCCCATCTGCTCGTCATGCTGCGAGAAATCCTCCTTGTGTAGTGACTGCGCTGCCAGTACTGCCATGGAAGAGGGGGAATTAAGATGGGGGGATAGTGGGGGTTAGCAGCAATACGGGCAAGGAGGGGCGGAGCTGATCTGCTCGTCATGCTGCCAGAAGTTGTGCCTGCACTGCGCTTCTGGCACCGCCTGTGCGGGGAGAGAAGGGGGGGAAGGGGGGTGAAGCAGCAGAGAGGGGGGCGACAGCAGACATGGCGCTGATCTGCTCGTCATGCTGCACGATATCGTCCTTGTGCTGGCACTGCGCTGCTAGCACCGCCTGGGATGGGAGAGAAGGGGGTGGGGAAGTGGGAGGGCAGGGGTTTGGGGTAGGCGGGGAGCGACAGAAGCGACGGTGCTGATCTGCTCGTCATGCTGTGAGAAGTCATCCCCGTGGAGAGACTGCGCTGCTAGCACCGCCTGTGAGGGGAGAGGGGGGAATGGGATGGTGGGGACTAGCAGCAGTGAGGGTACGACGGGGAGGTGCTGATCTCCTCATCATGCTGCGAGAAGTCGTGCTTGTGGCGTGACTGCGCTGCCAGCACCGCCTGTGCAGGCAGAGGAGGGGGGGGAGAGGTGGGAAGTGGGAGGAAGGCGAAAATTTCGGATCGGAGGAGAGGGGGGGGGGGGGTATGCGCATGGGAGGGTGAGAAATACCTTGACCTGTATGGGATGTGGCATGCTGACTTTAGAGTCGACTCAAAAGTTGACTTTTGACTTTTGAGTCGACTCTAAAGTCAACTCGCATGGGAGATTGAGAAATACATTGACCTGTGTGGGATGTGGCATGCGGAAAGCACACTTGCTCACAAGCAATCCTCCTCTCTAACAGCATCCGCATGCCTGGAAGGCACACTTGTCTCGCATCCTCCTGTATCCAGGTGCGTTCTGAGTCGACTCAAAACACAACCAGCAAGGCTAAGGCATGCCATGCTAACACACCTGAAGTGCACACACACCTAAAAGGCATCCCACACACCTGGAAGACACACACACCTGGAAGGCACACTTGTTTCGCATCCTCCTGTGTGCAGCCACAAACAGCGCAGCCTTTGTTTGAGGAAGCTTCCACTTTTCTTCCCCTCCGCCTGGCCCAATTCCGTCCACCGTCGCAACCTCCCTCCCACCTCCCCTTCCCCTTCCACACCCCCCAGCCGCGTCCCCTTTCCCCTTTCCCCCACCTGCTCTCCTTCCCCTACCTGCCCCCACGGCTGCTTTTCCCTTTCCCACAACTGCCTTCCCATTTCCCCCAACCACAATCACCCCTGCCTCAGCACAATCTTCCACTTCTCTTCCTCTATTCCTCGCCGCTCTGCGGCTCTCCCCCCTACAAATCTGAATCTCACCCATCTCCACCCCTTCCAACCCCTCCCCGCCATCCCCGGCACCATCCACATCTCCCCGAGGCCCAATCCCTACACAAGCAGCAACAAAGTCAGCATGGGATGACTCCCCAACCGGCACCCCTCGCTGCTGTTGCACCTGCCCTTGCTCCTCCTGCTGCCCCTCCTGCTCCCCCCTCCCACCCCCTCCAATCAACCGCCTCTGCCTCTCCCTCCGTCTCGGCGGCGTGGGAAACTGCTCATGATGCCGGTTAAAACACTCAGTCGCCGTCTTTCCAGGCACCCACAGGGCCACCCGCCCCCAGAAGCCATCTGCATGCGGATTCACAGCGCTCATGGCCTCGTGGAATGCTCTCACTTGACCCGCCGTCCACCCCATGTGATCCAGAGCAGGAGCGGGGGCAGACGCGAAAGCAGGAGCAGAGGCGGGGCTTTCAGGGGGTTCGTCTTGAGAGGGGTGGTTTGGACCGCGGTGGTTCTGATTGGCCCGGTTTCTAGCGGCGTGTGACGGTGAAGCCATAGGGTTACCAGCAGCGGCAGCGGCAGTGGCAGAAGCAGAGGCAGAGGTTGAAGCAGAGGGGCGATTGCAAGTAGATTCGGTAATGTTGACAGAGGGAGGAGGGGAGGGCGGGGGGGGCACTGGGACCAGGGCGAGGCATTGGGGGTCGTGGGATGGGGATGGGGAATTGTGGGGTGAAGATGGGGGAACATAGGATGGGGATGGGGGCATATGACAATCATCCTTCCCCTTCCCCACCTTCTTCCCCTTCCTTTCCCCCTTCCCCTTCCCTTCCCCCTTCCCTTCCCCCTTCCCCTTCCCCAGACCCTTCCCCTTCCCCCCCCCTTCCCCCACTTCCCCACTATCCCCTCGAGCAATCCTAGCCATCGATCTGGTCACTCTGACACTCCTCCTTACCATCTCCGGCACCTCCTCTCTTTTCCTCTTGAGTTGATTCGCTTTCCCACTCGCTTTCCCACTCGCTTTCCCACTCTCTTTTCCCTCGCTTGTCCTGCCCTCTTGCTCTCTCGCCCCTCCCCCACTCCCACCCAGTCCGTCACCCCCCTCTCCAACCCTCCCCACCTCCCCCACACCAGCCGCCCCCTCTCTCCCCTTCTCCCCACCCACACCCACTCTTCCATTCTGCCCGAACCTCGAGGCTTGGCACATCCGAGCCAGAGCAGCAGTCTTGGCAGCTCTACCAGGAACTGTTCTTCCTCCCGCCACTGTCCCATCAACGGTTCTCCCAGCTCCTTTCAACCCACTCGCTAAAGTCACACTTGCTACAGCATCCTTATCCGTAGCCTCCATGACAGGAGCTTCCACTACCTCTTTCTCCCTTCCATCCTCCCCATTCCCTTCCACTTCTCCCTCTCCTTCACCCTCCCCTCTTCCCTCCTCTTCTCCCTCCCCTTCTCCCTCCCCTCTTCCCTCCTCTTCTCCCTCCCCTTCTCCCTCCCCTCTTCCCTCCTCTTCTCCCTCCCCTTCTGCGCCTCCATTTTCATCCCCTTCCTCTCCACCCTCCATTTCCTCCTCCGCTCCTTCCTCCTCTCTCCTCTCCCCATCGCCCTCCATTAATACCTCTCCACCCTTCTCCCCCTCTCCCGTACCTCCCTCCTCCCATCCACCCCCTCCTCCCTCCTCTGCCACCGCCCCTCTCCCCCCATCCGCCTCCTCAGCTCCCTCCCTCACCACCTCTTCCACCATCTCTCCCTCCCCACTTCCTCCCTCCTCCATCCCATCCTCTCCTCCTTCCTCCGCCACCGCCACTCTCCCCCCATCCATCTCCTCAGTCAAATCTATCATGTCCTCTTTCTCCTGCCCACCTTCCCCACACCCTCCTCTCCTCCTAGGCGACTTCCGTGCCGATCCAAGGACAACCCCCCTCCCCGCACCTGTATTTCCATCCAAAGCAGCCACACATTCTGACGCAACACTCCCTTGAGCACTCTTCCCTCTCCCTCTAGGCGAATTCCGAGCGAATTCAGTAGCCACTGCTCTTCCCCCATGTGCCTCTCCAGCCGAAGCAGCCACACCCTCCGCCTCAACCCTCCCTTGAGCACTCCTCCCCCTCCCCCGAGGCGACATCCGGGCCGATTCAGAAGCCACTGCTCTCCCCGCCCCTGCCATCCCAGCCGCAGCACCCAGATCCTCCGCCTCAACCCCTTTTTGCCCGCAACCCTTCCTCCCCCTCCCCCTAGGCGACTTCCGGGCGGACTCAGTAGCCACTGCTCTCCCTCCATGTGCCTCTCCAGCCGTAGCACCCACACCCCCCGCCTCAACAACAACAACTTGTTGCCCTTTCCGCCTCCGCTTGCTCTTCCGCTTCTCACCCACCTCCCTTGCTCCATCCCTCTCTGCGCCATTCCCGTCTCCTCCCTCCTGCTCTTCCCCTTCCCCCTGCTCCTCCCTTCTCTCCTGCTCTTCCTCACCGGCCGTTAGCCCCCCAAACAAGGCTGCAGAGTCGAGAGAGAGGCAGTGTGGGTGGGAGTGACATGGACATAACACGAGTATTCAGAGAAGAGTGAGACTTAGATAGTCATAGGAGCGATAGACAGTATTCGAACGACGAAGAGAAAGTTGCAGAATCAGACAGGTGAAACAGCTTGAGCCACACACCTGGTAACCGGAACTGAGATGTGGTAACCATATACATGGTAACCCGCTTACCCTTCTTGAGAATCTTCAGTTCCTCTGCACGTGTGATTGGCTGCAGTCCCAGCAGTATAGAAGGTCGCTCCACATCCTGCGACCAAAGCACCCTCAGGTAATACACCAAGAAAAGCAGCATGGAAAGAGAGGAATAAAAAAAAGAGAATACAAAAAGGAGAAAAATGCATCTCTAAACTCCCTTGAAGCGAGAGATGAACACTCACTGAACACTCACCACAGCGAGGGCTGAACACTCACCACAGCAAGGGCTGAACACTCACCACAGCGAGGGCTGAACACTCACCACAGCGAGGGCTGAACACTCACCACAGGGCTGAAGATTCTCTCATGCAACCAGTAGGCCAGGGGAGGGAAGAGCGGTCGACCTGGGAGCAGCAGGAATACATAGAGAACAGGTGGGGACACGGGGTTGGGAGCAGGGGCACGGGGATTCGGAAGTAGAGGAACAAAGGGAAGGTTTGAGACGCCTCAGAACGGGGATGGGGAAGGATAGAGAGTGAGGGAATGAGGGAGTGCGGGAATGAGAGAACAAGGGAAAGTTGGGGCGAGTATAGGGGGACAGGAAACACGTGAGGGGCGGAGGGAAGCATCACTATGAAGCGAAATAAAACCGCTCTATACCACACTAGCCTACCCCTAAACGCCAAAACATAGATTGGGACTTTTTGAGGCTGCTTAACACGGGCTTAACCCTAAATCGAAATGTGCTTTGGTAGGGGAGCAGGGGGCCGCGAGATAGAGTGTAAGGAAAGGGATGGAAAGAGATTGAGGAGGATGACAGGAAGGAGAACGAGGGGGTTGGTGGGGAGGAGAATGCAGGGGTTGGTGAGGGTGCTGGGGTTGGTGGAAAGGAGATTTGGTGGGGATTCGCACCACTCCGGGAGTACTCCACATTGACAATGCGAGAGCCATCGGTGTGGGGTCTGGGAGATGTGACGTGAGAGGCACCGGCACCCCTCCCAGCAGGGGATTTCAAGTGAGAAGCCGCACGGCCGGGTTTCGGAGAGTGTAACACGTTCTTGCGGCTTCGTTTGGAAGTTTGGTGTGATAGCGGGTGGGGAGGCTGGCAGGAAGGTGGGTGGGACGGTCGGTGGGGGGCGGTGGCAGGCGGAGGGGGAGGAGTGGAGCAGCGATGACGTGAGGCAGCACGAGGAGATGTGGCAGGTAGTGGCGAGTTGGAACGAGCTGACACGCTGGGGGATGGTGCATTGGCCGCGTTGGTAGCGTTGGTAGAATTGGCAGCAGTGGCAGCACCAGCAGCAGTGGAGTGTTGGTGACGCGAGGAGGCATGGGGAGGTGTGGCAGGTAGTGGCGAGTCGGAACGAGCTGGCACGCTGGGGGATGGTGCATTGGCCGTGTTGGTAGCGTTGGTAGCGTTGGCAGCAGTGGTAGCACCAGCAGCAGTGGAGCGTTGGAGACATGAGGAAGCAGGGTGAGGTGTTGCGGGTAGTGGCGAGTCGGGAGCAGCATTGGTCGCGTTGGCAGCAGTGGCAGCATTGGCAGCATTGGCAGCATTGGCAGCATTGGCAGCATTGGCAGCAGTGGCAGCATTGGCAGACCGTGTGACATTATCAGGCGAAACTACATCAATGGGACTGCCAAATGCAGCAGCAGTTGTTGCTGCTGCAGGTCCAGTCCCTGCACTCACTTCTCTCACTGCCCTTAGTGCACTCACTGCCCTCACTACACCCACTGCTCCCACTTTCCCCCTCACTGCTTCCTCTGCTCCCACTGCTCTCCCTGCAGTGACTGACGCCCCTGCGGCCCCATGCGGGGCAGCATTCGAAGGAGATGCATCCCGTGCACCCACGCGTCCACATGCTTCTTCCTCCCCAGCTGCAAGCCCCCTGTCCGCACCCTCCGCTTCCCCCACCCTCACTGCTCCCACTATTCCCACTGCAGTCCCTGCATGTCCTGCATTCCCAAGTGGAGAGCTATTCGACGGAGACTCATCCCATGCACCAACGCCTCCACATGCTTCTTCCTCCTCGGCTGCAAGTCCCCCATCCGTGCCCTCCGGTTCTCCCACCCTCGCCTCTGCCCGCTTCCGCTTCCTTCCTTCCTGCACACTCCCACTACACGGCTTAAGCCTTCCCTTCTGAGGGGCCTCAGAAAAAGCCCCACCACACGGCCTACCATGCTCTACCTCTACCTCCACCCCATGCCCCACCATAGGCCCCCCATGCTCTACCACAGGCACCTCTACCACAGGCACCTCCACCACATCAGGACTCGCACTCCCAGACGGATCAGCCTCTTCCTCCCTGCGCCCTCCGCCCCTCACCCCTCCTCTGCGCCCCTTCTGTAAAGGCGTCTTCATAACCCCAGCAGTCACCCCACTCGGCTGGCCAACCCCTTCCTTCCTCTGCCCTCTGTTCCTTACCCCTCCCCTCTGCCCCTTCCTCAAACGCGTTTTCATAAACTCAGAGGTCACCCCACTCGGCTGGCCAACCCCTTCCTTCCTCTGCCCTCCGCCCCTCACCCCTCCTCTTTTCCCCTTCCTCAAACGCGCCTTCATAAACTCAGGAGTCACCCCATTTGGCTGACCAGCCCCTTCCTTCCTCTTCCCTCCGTCCCTCACCCCTCCCCTCTGCCCCTTCCTCAAACGCGCCTTCATAAACTCAGGAATCACAGTCATGCCGCATGTCTGGTCCCCTCTCTCCTCCCTCTCACACCCCGCCTCATTCCCCCGCGTCTCTTCCACCACACCACATGCCTCCTCCGCTCCACCACACTCCACCTCAACCCCCCACGACTCTTCCACACCATACTCTATCTCATTCCCGCATGCGTCCTCACTCCCACACTCCGCCTCACAATCCCCCATCTCATCACTATCGCTCCCTCCCTCAGCCCCCTCACCCTCCTCCTCACAGGCGATTCTCCTGCCCTTTACACTCTTCAAAGCTACCACGTCACCACCGTTCCCTCCCACAGCCCCCTTGCCTTTTGCCTCACCCGTCACTCTCCTCCCCAGCTCCCCCTTCCCCCCTTTCGCCCCCCTCCCGTCTGTCGTAGCCCCTTCCCCCACGTCTCCCTCCTTCGCCTTCGCTTTCCCCCCCTTCGCAGGTCGTCCTCTCGCCCCTGCTTTTGCCCCTGATTTCGCCCCTGCTTTCGCCCCTGTGTTCGCACCCGCCTTAGCCCCTCGTTCTAAGCTCTGCCGTTTCACCCACAAGACATCTCGAGCCTTGGCCTTGCTCCTCCTCTCCGCCCTCTCCCCCCTCATCGCACTCTCCTTCCTCTCCTTCCTCAATTTCGCTGCTGCCCCACCTGTCGCAGCAGCCCTCCCTTTATCCAACGCATCCGTTCTAACTCTTAACGAAGCCCTTCCAGACGAGCCAGCAGCACTACCCCCCCCGGGCTTACCTCCTCCTGCTGCTCGTCTTACGGCCGCTGCTCCTGACGTTGCACCTGACGTTGCACCTGACTCTGCACCTGATGCTGCTCCTAAAGCTGCTCCTGCATCTCGCACTATCGCTGCATCTGACGCTGCTGCTGCAACCACTACTTGCCCTCTCTCTCCCTTACCCTTGCGTCCCCTCTTACCTGCTGCTACAGCAGGCCCTAACACTACCCCCTTGCTTCCATTCCCTTCCCCACTCCCTTCCCCATTCCCTTCCCCACTCCCTTCCCCACTTCCTTCCCCACTCCCTTTCCCACTACCTTTCCCCGTTCCCCTCCCAGTTCCTGTATCTTTCCCGGTCCCTTGTCCTTTCGCTGTCCCTGTTCCTGTCCCTTCCGCTGCCCCCTTACCCGTTCCCCTCCCATTCCCCTTCCCAATCCCTTCCCCCTTCCCTACCCCTCTCCCTCTCACTTTCCCTTTCCCTTTCCTCCTCGGCGTTGCAGCTTCTTTCAAGGCAGCAGCAGCGGCCACAGCAGCAGGTCTCCGCCTCCCTCTAGGCGGGCTCCACTTCACCAGCGCCCGCCGGAAGCTCAGTTGCCTCACCACTGCCAACCGCGCCTGACCCCTCGTTCGCACTTCCTTCCTCGTTGACCGTCCGCCCGTGTGTTGCTTCTCGTCCTCCTTCCCCTGGAACGTACCACCCGCCTGCGGTTCTGCTACCCCCGACCGCCCCTGCTCGTTGCCCGTGCTTCCACTCCCTTCTCCCATGCCCGACCTAGCTGAATCTCCCGCGCTCTTCCCGATTCTCCTTCTCCCCTGCCCCAACCTACCCCTCCCCACGGACTTGCGGCCCGCTCGCCGCCTCCCCTTCCCCCCTTCCCCTTCCCCTTCCCCTTCCCCTCGTGCGCGACCCTCTTCCGCATCCGCTGCGCCATCCCTTCCGCCAACCGCTCCGCCATCCGCTGCTCTAATTCCCGAACTATCATCCGCGCCTTCCCTTGCGCTCCCCCCGCGGCCAACCTCCGCACTATCGCCCCCCCGGTCCCCATCCCGCACGCCTACCAGCGCCGATTCCCCAAACCACCCGTCGGGAGTCCGGGGCCCCTCCGCCCCGCGCAAACCCTCTGCGCTTTCCCCCGCGCCGTCCCCTCCGCCGCGGGCCCCGCGCGGGGCGGAGACGCCTCTTCCGCCCGCCTCCACGGGAAGCCAGCCAACGAACGCGCCTACTGCAGCCACGCCTGCGTGCATGCTTTCCTCCACCTCCTCCTCCGCTATATCCATGCTCACCGCGTCGTCCTCGATCTCTACGCGCAACTCATCCCCTTCCATTCCCACATCAACCTCTTCCTCCTCCTCCTCTTCCTCCCCCTTCTCTTCCTCCCCCTTCTCTTCCTCCTCTGCACTCAACTCGTCCTCTTCAATCGTTACAACCACCACCTCCTCCGCCGCATCGCCTGCATCTTCTACGATTTCCGCGTCCTCCTCTTCTTCCGTTTCTACATCCATCCGCTCGTTTTCAGCCTCTTCGTTACAAGCATCAATAACGGAAACTTTCGCACGAACGTGCTGCTGCACCTCGTCGTCTACCCCGTTCGCATCATCCGCGTCTCCTTTTCCCGCTATAATCCGCTCCGCGCAACCCGTTACGAAGCCGTCGGATTGCGCTGAAAAGTAACTATCCTCTAACAACTCACTGGCAGCTACGCCGCGCGTTTCAGACGGCGAGCGACGCGGTTCAGGATCGGTACGAACATTTTCGGATTCCGTTCCGTGCGTTTGCGGCTCAAAGCCGTCAATTTCAGCCGCATCTCTAGATGGTGCGTCTGCCGATACCACAGGTGCTCGGATCCTATGTGAAGAATCTCCTACTTTTTTGCTCCTACTAGTAGGCTGGTTAGTCTCTATTCTGGTCTGGCCAGAGTTCCCACGCGCAACGAGGTTACCCATTTTGCTAACACCATCCGTGCGATCATCTTCACCAGTAGAAGATATAGAGATCCTGCGTGTGCCTGTGCAAGGTGAAATCCTAGCGAGATTCGAACCAGCGACATTTTTACCTGAAGAGTACACACCCGTTTCTGTTCTGGGTGCCGAATTTCCGAGAAGGCTACCCTCATCGCTTCGACTTATCCGTTCGCCACGTGGCGTCATCTCTGGCGATCGTTTTCTCGAGGCAAGATCTTCAGAAGAAGCTAAATCTGCGTCCCGCTCCTTCGCTTTCCCGAGCGCTTCAGGCAGGCTCCTGTTTCAGCGACAGTCCAACATGCTAAAAGTATTGACTCACTTTACTACTGAAAAAACGGAATTCTCGTAACCTTGTTACTGACGCTAAGGTGCGATGGCAATTTCATCGAACTTCTGCGAGGCGTCTAGCGATCAGGCTGGCGACGGTAGCTTGTGTGCGGTGCGACAATATCGAGAATACGACGACAGATCACAAAGTGACACGTTGCAACTGGAGGAATATCCTGAGAAGGTTATGTACCCCTATGCTTGAAAAGGATGTAAACAACCCACGGCAACGAAGCTAACTGCTGGAAACTAGAAAGGCAAGCGGTGAGAAACAGGTCAAATAAGCGGAGAGAGGAACCCGCGTTGGCTGTTGCACGTCGTGTTCGTTTTGTTGGCTTTGATGGAAGCGGAGAGACCAACACGATGACAGAGGATTGATTGAACGAGACTCCTGTGATTAGAGGAACAATCCCAAGGTTCTGAATTTGGCGGGAAGACTGACATTTCTGAATTTCAGGGTTCGTGCCGCCCATTTGTCCATCAGCCAGTTGTGGTTCAGTATGTTTCCACACGGTAACAGAAGATTTCACTATTTGCCGCTATGGACCGCAAAGAACCAAACAAAACCGAGAGAATCAAGAACCAGGGAGGGGGACATCCCCCAGATGTGTGTACTCGCTGTTTAAAGCCCGCTTCCCAAGTTGCGGACCATTCAAATGCTGTTTTATGAAGAATGTACTTCGTAGAAGATATTGGAAATGCCTACGTGCTGGGGAAATTCAATCTTTATTGATGCAATTGCAACCACCAATGTTGAATTTACTTCAAAATTAAGCTGGTATTATAATATCGTAATGGTGGTCGTCACGGTGATTGGAATGATTCGTATTGTGCGCTGTTTTTAATGAAGTCTCAATCTGGTGTGGTGTGACAACTTCGTTATACCGCGTACAAATTCGAAACGACACTTCAACTGGGATGGCGCCTAATCTGACGCCTTTCGCACGGTAACAACCGGAGGCGAAATCACAACAACAATTCAACTGGTATGGTGCCTAATTTGACGCCTTTCGCACGGTAACAACCGGAAGCGAAATCCCAAATTCCACCAGATGTGATACAAGAGGGTCAGCTCTGTAGTCCCAGCGCCGGGAATGGGAGCAGAAAGTATCCGTTGAGCTGATCATCTTTCGGGAGATTTTGGTCAGCCACTTACCGTGCTGGTCCAGTGCATTGGGGAAATTCGATCTCCATCTGTGCTCCCTAGAATCTGCCTGCTTCCGTTTCCTCTACAATCTGCTTCTGCAAGGCGATATGACTGCATGCAAGTAGTTAGAAGGAGCTATCTTTCTAAACTACAACAAGTTCACACCTCTATTGAATTGTCGTGCTTGGCGTACTAGGAACCATTAGCAACCTGCGATGTGTTCATGCAGTTTTCTTCCTTTTTTTCGCTATATCCAGTCGTCAGGATTCGAACCCCTGATCGGTGCCTCGCTATAAGATGTCCCGTAAGATTCTTGTCCAGACCAGCCGAGGCTCCCGAGACCGAGGGTGCGAACGTGCGAACCGATCCGAGCTTTAATGGCGAACCAGTACCGGCGGTTGGGACTGAGGCTCGGTTGCGTACCGAGGGAAGTGAGGAGGGGGAAGGAGAGGGAGAAGAGCCAGGAGAGAGCGAGAGTAGAGTGGAAAAGGAGGAGGTGGTTGGCGGAGGAAGGCGTATGAGACGTGAGGGAAAAGCGGGGAAAGCGGAGGTAAATGATGAAGGAGGCGGGAGGAGTGGAGGGAGGGGACGAGGAGGGAGGGGAGGAGAAGGGAAGGGAGGAGGAGGGAGGGGAGGATGCGCAACGAGCGAGGAGGAAGAGGCAGTAACATTGATTGCTGGTGTGCTGAGAGAGAAATTCGGGCCTCATATCGTGAGAGAGGAGGAGGAGGAGGGGTCTATAGATGGAAGAATCACCAACGAGGAGGAGGCGAAGGGAGCAGAAGAAGAGGAAGGGGATGAGGAGTTATTGGAGTTAGAAATTGGGGAAGAAGGGGACGAGGGTGAGGGAGACGAAGCAAAAGTGAAGGAAGAGGACTTTCCACGAACCACCTATCGCCCAAGAAAAGCATGTGCAACCTCTCTCTCCTCCCTCCTCTCCCTCTACCGCTTCTTCTCCTCCCACCTCGGCATCTCCTCCCCTTCCACTGTTGCTTCCCTCCTCGCCTCCCACCCTTCGCTCCTCAGGTCTGATCCCACAAGTGATTTCCTTATCGAGAGAACTGTGCAGGAATGATTGGATTAGCAAGGGTTGGGGTACAAGTACTAACCCTAGAAGTGCTGTACCCCATAAGGAGTGCCCCACTATAGCCTACAAGTAAGATGTACTTTGACACACCCCCATAGGCTAAGTGGGGGATAACAAGATGGTCACAAGACCAGTCAAGGAAGACAACAGAGCAAAAGCAAAGCAAAACAAAGCCCAGGGTGGATCTCAAGGACACCACACAATCTGAGCACAAGTAAGCGGCCACAAGGCCAGTTCACATGCAGAGTTATAATAGTAAGGCAGTTACTGATCACAACCTAGCAAGAGTAAACAAGCAGGTATAAAGATATATATCAGTGTACAACAAGAGCAAGTCAAGCAACCAGCAGGTGAGGTAGAGTGGGCACAAGCCCAAGAGCAGTGCAGAAACGCTGATGATCACCAGACCGAAGGGCCTTGGTGAACACATCAGCAGTGTTGGCCCGCGAGGCCACGTAGGAAAGGCGGAGATGACGACGCTGCTGCAGCTCACGCGCAAGAAAGTAGCGAAGAGCAATGTGCTTCGTTCTGTGCTCCAGTCTCAGCTCGTGAAACAAGGCAAGCATTGCCTTGTTGTCGACGTACAGAACTGGAGGAGAACAAGGCCGCTCCCCCAAGTCGGTCAGCAGGTAGGTCAGCCAGCGGAGCTCCTGTGCAGCCATGGCCTCAGCGTAGATCTCGGCCTCACAGCTGGAACCAAGCACAGAAGAAGAACGAGTGGACCTCCACGAGACAGAACCAGAGCCAAGACTGAAGGTGTAACTCTGTGACGAACGCTGAGTCGCCTAGTCGTCGGCCCGAGAAGCGTCGGAGTGTCCGGTGAGTACCACTGAACCCTGTCCTCCAAGAACTAGCCCCATGCCCGATGTACTGCACAAGTAACGCAGTACCCTCTTCGCAGCATCCTAGTGCACCTTTTAGTGTCTACCGGGAGCCACGTAGCGAGCCAGGAGGCTGAGAGGGTACGCGAGGTCAGGTCGTGTGCATGTCATCAGGTACATGAGGCAACCCACAAGCTCTGGCTACGGACCTCTCGGCTCTACGGACTCGTCCGAAGGTGGAGCTGAGAGCGAGTGGCCGGTAGAGAGAGGAGTGGGCTGTGACGAGGAGAACTGGAAGGCGAAGCGCTGAAGGACCTGGTGCACCATCTGTGACTGAGTCAGGGTGATGGTGCGCCGTGCTCTGTCCTGGGTGATCTGCAAGCCAAGATAGCTACGCAGCTCACCCAGGTCACTGCAAGTGTGTCTCTCCTGCAGCTCCGCCTTCACTAGGGCCAGTGCCTCAGTGTCAGCAGTAGCAAAAACCAAGTCGTCGACATACTCTAGAACGTAGAACGGCGGCAGTGACGTGTCGGTGCGTAGAAACAGCGACGGGTCAGCAGAGGAAGGAGCAAACCCAAGAGCTGCAAGTGTAGTCCTGAGTGTGTCGTGCCTCTCTCGGGGAGCCTGGCGGAGACCGTAGACTGGCCGCCGGAGGCTCCAATGGTTACCCGCAGGAAACGACCCAGTGAAGTCGGGTGGGCGGCGCAGCCAGATCTCCTCGTGAAGGCTGCCCTGCAGGAAAGCTGTGGAGAAGTCGAGGGAGTGCAGCTCGTAGTCACGCTGTGCTGCAACGTGCAGCAGCACCCGAAGAGTAGTCATCTTCGGGGTGGGGGAGAAGGTGTGGAAGAAGTCGACCCCCGTCACTGACTGAAGCCTCGAGCAACGTAACACGCCTTGAAGGCAGGCGGAGAAACCGGCGGCCGCTTCACCCTGAAAATCCACATGCCATCGACTATCTTCGCCCCAAGAGGAGGAACCTCGACGACGTAGGTGCCTGTGGACTTACAGGAAGCCATCTCTGCGTCCATGGCTGTCTGCCACTCAGAGGAGTACTCACCCGCGATCGCCTTAGCGTAAGAGCGCGGGGTAGGGATGTCAAGTGCATCCGGTTCTCCCTCGGGGCAAAGCAGCATGGATGCGAAACGAGGTAAAGCAGACG